GGCCCAGCTGGGCTGCGTGAGTTTCCATCTCAAAAAAATAAAATATTTTATAGGTATTTACTGGATGCTCATTTTACGTGAGGAATTCCACTGGGCAAGAGGTTCCAGAAACAAACAAGACAGACAGATCTCACTGTACTGCGCCCCGCTGAGGAAGGCAGGCGTGAACCAGGGACCCCACGAGAGCATGTCAGATAGAGAAGTCAACTCAAAGCCTAGCAGTGAAGGTGGTTTGTGCGCTTCTCTGAATGCAGTCACCAGGAGAACTCTGACGAAGAGGTCGTGGAGCAGAGTCTGAATGAAGAGAAAGAGGTCCGGGAGGGTTCCACAGCTCAGTGGAGCAGCAGCTAGGCCAGCTCAGAGCAGAAAGGAGTGAGAACTGTGAGTAGCTGTAAGGAGAGGTAGGGGTGTTCCTGAGAGTAGCTGTAGGGGGAGGTAGGGGTGTCTCTGGGAGTAGCTGTAGGGGGAGGTAGGGATGTCCCTGGGAGTAGCTGTAGGGAGAGGTAGGGGTGTCCCTGGGAGTAGCTGTAGGGAGAGGTAGGGGTGTCTCTAAGAGTAACTGTAGGGAGAGGTAGGGGTGTCCCTGGGAGAAGCTGTAGGGGGAGGTAGGGATGTCTCTGGGAGCAGCTGTAGGGAGAGGTAGGGAGGTTTCTGCACTGGAAACTGGCTCAGCCTTTCACCAGCAGTGAGATGCCATTGCAGGGTCCTAGTGACCTCTAGTCATTCACATTTAGCATGATATAACATGGTCCTATCTCCTATGCATTCATTCTCTTAGAACAGCTAAGATCAATCATTTCAGATGGGGGTCAGGATTGTAAATCAGTAGTAGAACAAACTTGCTATACTGAAGCTCCTGGGTTTGATCTTCAGCACCAAAGAAAGTAGGGGAAATCAATGTATATAAGGGAGATGGGCCTCGCAGTGGAACCTATAATCTTAACTGTCCTAGGAACTGAGGCTGGAGAATTATATTCAAGGACTACATGAGCTACCGAGTGGGTTCAAGGCCAGCCTGGTCATCCTATAAAACTCTATCTCAATGCCCAAAGTAAAAAACAAACAAACAAACAAACAAACAAAAAACCAGCTAAGGTCCTAGTGTTCTGCTTGATTGTTGCCTCACATGCTTCACCCCCTCCCTAGGACTGCAGCGAGCAAACACAGTCAAAGAATTGCATGCATGACGTCTAGTTCACTCCCTAGGACTGCAGCGAGCAAACACAGTCAAAGAATTGCATGCATGATGTGTAGTTCACCCCCTAGGACTGCAGCCAGCAAACACAGTCAAAGAATTGCATGCATGATGTCTAGTTCACCCCCTAGGACTGCAGCGAGCAAGCATAGCTGTTGACAGAGATTTCTGTCCTGCCCAATCCCACAGCCATCTAGTCCCAAAGAAACACACAGAGACTCACATTAATTATAAACTAGTTGGCCTAGTAGCTCAGGCTTTTCTTATTAACTAATTCTTACATCTTAAATTAGCCCATTATTCTTATCTGTGTTAGCCCTGTGGCTCGGTACCTTCCATCAGTGAGGCATTCTCATCTTGCTTCCTCTGTGTGGACTGCAGACTGGCCTTTCCTCTTCCCAGAATTCTCCTGTTCTCATCGTCCCACCTCTACTTCCTGCCTGGCTACTGGCCTATCGGCGTTTTATTAAACTACAAGTGACAGGGTACAGACCATGTCCTACAGCACATAGCCAAAGGATCACATACATGTCTAGTTCAACCCCTAGAACTGTGAGCGAGCCAACACAGCTGAAGAAAGGCACAACTGCCTTTGGAAGTGGTCGGCCGAGGAAAAGGAAACACACCTGGCTGCCCATTAGCTCCCAACCTCAGGACAAGGATGGGGTGGGTTCCACACAGATCTCCACCCCGTGAGGAGTTTGCCTTGCTCAGATAACCAGTTCAGGGGGAAAATGTGGGCTTTCTCTTCTCTTCATCTTTTTCTAAACCTCCCGCACCCTGTGAAGAAGTGAACCTTTTGGGAAGTGGTGGGCCTCATTCTCTGTATCTGCATACATGTACGTGCTGTGACTAACCCTGAATCCAGGCAACGTCAGTGTTGGCCGCTTACAGCTCACGTCTAGCTTGTGTCTGCAAGTCAGCAACACTGTGTGTACTTTACAACATCAACATCAGTCACCTCGTAAATATTCCAAGACTTCCAAATATGCGCATCTGAAGATAAAAGATGCTTCCTCTGTCATTGTGTAATCATATATGTTAATAGCCATGTATTGCGCTTTAGTTAAGTTAGACTTTCCCTATAATTTCTTCAAAATAGAAATATCTACCCTGACATAGAGAAAAACCTCATTTGTTGTTTAAAAAAAATAAGAAACACCCATTTGAAACTAATAACTCATTAATGCCTCTGTGAAAATAATGTTCATAAGGAAAGTTCTAAAGTCATACTATTGTTTGTTTTTTAACTTTTTAATGTTTTTTTTCTCTCACTCAGTAAGTGCAGTTTTGGGCTCCCCTCCAAGGCCACTTACAGCCCTGGGATTTAAGTAGGTGTTCTTCATCGAGGCTGTCTCTGCACACATGTCGTGTCCATTGTTTTAAAGAGCTGCATTTGCTGACCCCACAGTTACATACAATAAGGAATATGACTGAGGGACAGGCAAACGGCTCAGTGGGCAGAGGTGCTTACAGGACACCCCTGGCAACCTGAGTTTGATCCCAGGAACCCACCTAAGGTAGGAGAGAAGCAAATTCAGGGTTGTCCTCTGACCTGCACACGCACTCTGACACACATGCTCACACCGTCACACATCATGTGTGCACACAAGAATAATGATCTAAAAACGTGTAATGGATATGTATGACTGGGAGAAAAGCTCATTTTTAACCTGTATAAAATTCCTACTGTTCAAATATGGTAGACCATTAATATCTCTAGTGCTCAGCCCTGACTTTACCTCTTGGTTTAATCGTCTGACCACAAAAGGGGCAAACCCACTCAGTTTTTGCTCTTACTGGACATCAATGACTGTTGCTTCCAGTAGAAGGGATGTAAAGGTATTTCTTGCATCTGACGGTTTTGAGAGCCTTTGAGACTCTCGGAATCGTAGTTGTTTACAACCGGTTTGCTTGGTTCAATTAAAACCACGTCCGTAAATATAAGCAAGCTTTCGTCTCTGAACCGGAGTAGTAGGAACAGCAGTTTTGATGGTGGTGTCCAAAGTCTGGCTCCTTGCAGCCTGCAGAGTCCAGTGTTTCCAGTCTCTGGCATTTCCAAGAAGCTTGTGAGCTTGTTGTTACAGTTTAAATTATATAAATGCGTAATTCAATAAATTTATATTAAAAACAAAAGTAAGGACTAGATAGTTCAGAGGCAGACAATACACTGGGTTTAATGCTACCAAGGATTGAACCCAGAGTCTCCTGATGGGACCACTGACCTGCACCCCCTGGCTTCATTGTGTGTTTTAGTCAATGCTCAGCCCTGTTGGACAACGGTCCCAGATTACTAAAATCCTAGAATTCCTAACAAGAGCTCATTGCTCCCTATTCCTGGAGCTATTCACTGCTGTGTGCTGTGCCTACTGCACACCTCTCCCCAGCCCCACAATGGGCTTCTCACAACGGGAGTGTTCACAGTCACTAAAACCAAACAGGGCTTTAACCCAATGAAAACAGTTTATATGTGGGTTAAGGTCATGAAAAGATGTAATGACAATAAATTGTTTGGAGAAAGGTCAGATTGGTGTCTGATCTGTTGGGGAGGGACTCTGGATGTGGCTTGAACTGCTGGGCTAATCGAATCATTTATTAACAAGATCGGTTGCTACATGGGAGTTGCCTCAGGATCACTGGGCCTTTGTTACCATTTGTAGATGAGTTAACACACAGTACTCACGTCAGCAGCATCTGCAGCGAGATATTTACTTAAGGCACTCCGTGAAAGCCGTGTGCAAGCTGCCCGATACCCGCTGAGTGTGGTGGTATTGAAAAGACTTTTGTTTCCACTCAAATTAGAAATCTTTCCAGTTTAAAAGACAAGGTGTGTCGTCAGCCAAATGATGCTATAGACACTTGGGCACCCTGTAAAAGACCACAGCTATGGCACAAAAAAAAAAAAAAAATAAAGAAAGAAAGAAAAGAAAATGGGCTGCTGAGAAGGCCTGGGGGTAAAGGAGATTCTGGTACAAGCCAGAGGACCTGACTTCCAGTCCCTAGAATCCACAGAAAGTTTACTAGTAGATGCAGTGTGTTGTAATCCCAAAGCTCCTGGCAGGAAGGGAAGATAAGGAAACAGGAACATCCCAGCCGAAAGCACAGACCAGCAGGCCGGTCAAACACCACCTCAAGCTAGGTAGAAGGAGGGGACAACACTTGAGGGTTGTCCTCTGACCAGTGCATGCAGCTGTATTAACGTCCATACGTGTCACACGCACCAAGATTTTAGAAAGAAACCAGAGAACATGATCACCTTATAGCTATGGCTTACAAAGCTTATGTTTTAGGTCAAATTGCTGAACCAGGTCTACTTTACTCTATTTTATTTTTGTATTTTCACCTTTAAATACTAAAAAAGCAGTCCAGTCATGGGCATTATCGATTTTCTCCACGATCAACTTGACATACCCAGGTTAACACACAGTACTCACGTCAGCAGCATCTGCAGCGAGATTTCATTGTTTCGCGTGCAAAGGCAAGAGTTGAGCCTGCAGACTGAGACAACAGCTCCTTGCCCAACCAGTTCAGAGAAGGGCGCTAAGAGATAGGCCTTGGTTTGCAACCGCCTATTATATATTTCAACACGAACCCTGTCCCAACATGTGTAAAATGATCCCCAGACCCAGGAAAAAAAACGAGGAAGAAACGATAGCGTCTGTATTTCATTTTTGAAATTGTTTAATTAACAGTTTCTCAACAGCAACGACAAATACCCAAAGCTAAAATGTACGCATGTTATGTGAAAACAGGAAAAGGCGACCCAGGTCCACTCTATAACTACCATCTTTTGTCTTTATTCAAGGTGTCATAAAACTGAGTTCTGCCGTTGAAGGTACGTTTTGGGGCTTTTTGGGGTGGGGGGCTTTTGTTGTTGATTTTTTTTTCAGCCACAAAAATCAATAGTTTTGCTTCAAGGCTGCACAGCGTGGCCCATAGCTAGCAGGCTTCTGTGGCCGTGGTGTTTGACGCCATGTTCCGATTGCGAGCTGTTGCCATTGCGTCTCGTGTTTCTCCTTGTTCTGGCCATGTCGTACCACAAGTCTCTCGGCCTCCCTGTGGACCTCAGCGGTCCTGTGCGGACGGCATCGCGAGAGCACATGTGTGTCTGTATTTCCTTGTGTGGTCGCCTCAGATCCAGAGCTTCTGAAGAGGCACCGACTTCAGAGCCTGAGTGGATGTGAAGGCTGTCGGGAGTCTGCAGCCCAAACACTTTCAGCAAGGGCCTTTTCTGGCACAGCCGTGGTTCTTTGTGCTGTGTACTGGTTTCCCTGGGAAGCCTGTGGGCATGAAGAATCATTCCGGCTCCCGTGCTAGTAAGTGCACTTGCCAATCAAATAGCAAGTTCTTGGGTACCCAGTTACCTCACAATGCTGTGGGGGAAAGCCCAGCATGGAAGTGCATGCCTGTAATCCCAGCACGTGGGAATGGAGAGAAGGATCCATAGACAATTTGAAAACAGCCTACCCTACATGAAACGTTTGTCTCAAAAAGTACATAACAAAACAGCTGATGCTCTTGGGGCCAACTCTGCATTGTCTAGTTAAGCAGTGGTGATTTCCCTCTGTTAAACAAGGCTCTGGGCCCCTTCCCTGGCACCAAAACAATTAGGAGATTAAATCAAAGAAAATACAAAATCAAAGATAACGGCAGCACGTTTTGCTGAGGAATGGCCCAGGACTGCTACCAATAGCTAATAACTTTCCTGCAATCTCAGCTTTCAGAAGGCTGAGATAGGAGAATCATGAGTTTGAGGCTAGCCTGGGTTACATTGCTGGTCAGCCTGGGCTGAGATAGCAAGACCCTATAAAACAACAGTAACAAAATGTCTCTCATTATCAGAAGTGATGGTGACTAGTTTGGGGGTGGGGGGGGCTTTTTTGTTTGTTTGCTTGTTTGTTTGTTTGTTTGTTTAATGATGTTCTCACCCTCTTATGCAGTATGTGGCATTTTCTTTCTGTGAGTCTCATGTTTGTTTTGGGGGTTTGTTCCTGTGTGCTGGGAGTGCGCCAGTCACGCCCTGGGGCTGTCTTTATCCTTTCAAGGAGGTAGTGTAAAGAGAGGGATGGGTTTCAGGTGAGTGTTGCAGCTTGCAGGGAGATGTAGCTTGATGAATGGGAAATGCATGCAGGTGGGGAAAGGCTCTAAGGGAAGAGGCTGGACTTGAGCCAAGGCATTCAAAGGGCTAGAGATGTTAGGAGATGAGAGAGGAGCTCAGAAACTCATTCATGAGACCTAGAAATCCAGGGTAGGAGGCTCCATCCCCTGGCAGGAAGGGAAGTAAGGAAACAGGAACATCCCAACCGAAAGCACAGACCAGCAGTCCGGTCAACCACAGACTCCAAAACCAAATCCCAAAGGCAACGTTTGACCTTGACAGCGTAAAGAATGCTGTTACACTAAAGAAAACAGATGGAGGGGCTGGAGAGAAGGCTCAGTGGTTAAGAGCATTGCCTGCTCTTCCAAAGGTCCTGAGTTCAATTCCCAGCAACCACATGGTGGCTCACAACCATCTGTAATGAGGTCTGGTGCCCTCTTCTGGCTTGCAGACATATACACAGACAGAATATTGTATACATAATAAATAAATATAAAAAAAAAGAAAAAAGAAAAGAAAAGAAAACAGATGGAGGCCTGGGCTGTAGCTCAGTGGCAGGGATGTAGCTTAGTGTGATATACACACACACACACACACACACACACACACACACACACACCGTGAAAGCAAAAGAACAGGAGAAGGGTTCAGGTAATGTGCTTCAGAGTAGAGAGAGATGAACTAGGCTAATCAGCCCAAAGCTCAACAGAGTGCACATTTCAGGCCTCTCCAAGGCCACATCAAAGAAGAATTTTATAGAAAAACTCTCCAGTCTCTTCTGTACCTATCAAAGTACAAGAATTGGAGCTGGGAGAGAGCTCAGGAGATGAGGACCTGGACCTGAACCGCCAGCACCCACTTATAAAAAGCTGGGCATAGCTGCGTGTACAGATCAGAGCGTTCTGTGCCAGCCTCCCTAGCCCAGAACTGAGAGCTCCCTTTTCAGTCAGAGCCCCTACCTCAAGGCAACAAGGCCGGGAACAGTAGAGGAAGACAGCAAACGACCTGCTCTGGTCCCTTACACTTACACACACACACACACACACACACACACACACACACACACTGTGCCTACCTAAACACTCCCCACACAGAGAGACACACATTAAAAAATAATAATACAGAAGACAATGGCAATTTGGACCTGTAGATTCAGTTAACTATCAGATAATAACAGATAAGGGTTAGCCACCATTAAGCCGTTGTTCGGAAAATCTGAAGTCTGATCTTTACGTGGTCTGTTTGACTTAAGCACAATATTCCACTCACAACAAAGGATATAGAAATTTTTTTTAAATAAAGTTAGAAACCCAAAGAATTTTAAAACCTTATTCTACTAGAGGTTACTATTAGATGGCACCCCCTATTTCTCAGCTCCCCAAACACAGTTATATTCTCCCGAGAAAGGTGAAGCTGTGAGGGAAAGTGAGGTAGCCAGCGGAATGGCTGTCCAGAGCATGGCTGGCAGCCGGTGCCCACCTCCCAGAGGCCCTGGGGTCACAGGAAGTTCTCAGAGGTGTGAGCCACTAGGGAGCAGGCTTCTGCTGTGCTTGCACATCTTGTTGGCTGAGAGCTGGGAAAGCATGCTGTGCTCTAACTGTGACCTAATCCGTGTGTTCTGATGCAGTCTGGGGCTGTGTCTTTTGGGGCTGGGGGTGGGGGGGTGCGCAATGCATGCATTGTTCTCTGTGCACCTAGAGCGTGAGGCTCCTGTGAGCATGCTCCGTGGAATGTGTGTCAGATTACAATCTCTTGTGGGGCAGTGAAACAGCAATCGTTGAGTTAATTATCGCTCTTACTCTTTTCCGGCTGGGTAATGTATCCATGGCAGCTGCCTAGCTCTTCCCCATGCCCGGGAATATGAATGTATACAGAAGAGGCCTCTGTCAAAAGAATGAAACTTCTTCCTTTTTCTTTAAAAATGGCTCTTCTTGATTGTGCTATAACTCTGAAACTAGCGTTAAAATTCTAGGTGGGTTCTCATTTCCTTTGTTTTTTTAAGGGAAAACATTTGGGAGGAGGAGCCGGGGAGGTAACTTACTGGTAGATGGCTTGCTTAGAGTGCTTGAGGCCCTGGGTTCAACTCTCATCACCAAAAGATAAAAAGAAAGACGACTCGGAAAGTCACCAGAGAGAGATCTTCAGAGGTTCCACTTGCGCTTTGCTACCAAGAATTTCATCATATGGTTTGGTGCATTCCGTTTTCTGAAACCCTGTCTCCTTCAACACTATGTAGCTTCATGTAAGCACCAAGGGGAAATTTGTCATGTTAATGGCGAGCTTTAAAGTGAAATGTTCTTTGAAAGATTTAAGTGTGGACTTAAACAGAAGTACATATTAATACTTTATTTTTCAGTGAACAGAAATGTCTGAATGGGGAGAAAAAGAATATTTAACTACGGTATCTTATCATTAACATTGATTAATTCTTGCCTTTAATTTTAGGTTGATAGTGCCAATCTCAGGGCTGGGGAGTTTGGTATGGTGGTGATTTCTAAAAATGCTACAAGGTCCCCGGTAGCAGGGCAGGCTGGTCCTGCCATGTGTCGAGCGGCTGGGCAGGTTCCCAGCAGTGAGCTGCAGGCGGGCGCATGGTTGGGAGACACGCGGGCAGACACATCGTATGGGGTAGAACTGAATATTTATTACTTAGAGGAAAGAGAGAGTGGGGGGAAGAAGGAGAAGAGGAGAAAGAGACAGAGAAGGGGGAAGTGGGGGGGGGGGAGCAGGAAGGCACGCAAGTGCACTCCAAGAAGGGATAGAGTCTAAAATGGCGGGGGAAGGGCAGGGGTCGCTGGGAGTGGGCGTGGCTTGCCTCTTAAAGAGATGAAAACCAGGGCTGGAGAGATGGCTCAACAGTTAAGGGCATTGCCTGCTCTTCCAAAGGTCCTGAGTTCAATTCCCAGCAACCACATGGTGGCTCACAACCATCTGTAAATGGGTCTAGTGCCCTCTTCTGGCCTGCAGGCATACATGCAGAAAGAATATTGTATACATAATAAATAAATAAACATTTTTAAAAAAAGAGATTAAAACCGTAACAGTGATAGTTCCAAACTCAGGGCTGGGGAGTTCGGTACGGTGGAGCACTTGCTTAGCATGAACAAAGCCCTGGGCATGTACAATGCTCAATCTCAACACAGGGAGAAGAGGGAGACTGAGAAATGGGAGGCTTAGCACATAAAGGCACTTCCTGCCAAGCCCCATGCTGAGTTCAAATGCTGGGACCCCTGGGGGAAGGAGAAAACCAGCACCAACAAGCTCCTCTGACTCCACTTGGATGCTGTGTGTTTTAATTTTAAAATTAAAAGAAGAGAAAATGGTTAGTTCCAAACTAAATTGGGCTAAGAGGGAAAGGTCCAGAAAGAACATCTGAGGTAAAACTGAAGTTGAGCTGTGGAAGAAAGAAAAAAAGACGTCCATGCCGAGAATCCCAGGTTAGAATTTCACGCATGCCCTCTGGCAGGGGACTCTCCCTCCTGACGTGGAAGCAGACAGGTGCACTTCCACAAGCGGAAAGAGAAGACCAGCCTTATCGTAGAACTGCAGACAAGTCAGAGCTGAAGCAGCCGGCAGGGCAGCCCTGACAGCCAACAGGCAGCTTCAGCTCCCAGGCAGGCGACCCCAGCCCCAGCCTAGAGGTCTTTCCCGGCCACTGCGGCACTAGTGCGCTAACTTATGTTTAAATCAAATTGCGGTATTCTGGAATTGGCAGCCTGGAGGGACGAGGCGAGGCT